TCGTTTAACTCTTTTTTAATCTGTAATGGATCTCGATTGTGGGTAAATCACAGATTATTTTCTGAGCATTTTCTTTTCTATCTAATAATACTAAGGTTAGGTAAACACATGCTCGATCTCGTTAAAAATCTAATTATAAAAAGGGCAAAAGGCCTCATAGGCTTGATACCCCGTTTTACTCAGTTTTTCAGCCAGTAATGGATCTCGATTGGGGTGAATCGAGAGCTAATTTTGGAGCGTTTTTTTTTTTTCTGATAAATACTAAGGTTAGTTAAATAGTATGCTCAATCTTGTGAAGACCTAATGATAAATCAAGCAAAAAGTACATGGTGAATACCCTATTTTACTCAGTGTTTTAGCTATTATGGATCTCGACTCTCGATGAATCGAGAACAATTTTTTTTAGCATTTTCTTTTCCATCCAAAAATACCGAGGTTTAGTAATACATGCTCGATCTCATCAATAATTTGATGATGAAAGAGCAAAAGCCACATAGGCGCGATACCCCGTTCACTAGTTTTTTAGCCGATTTGATCTCAATTGTAGTGAATCGAGGACTATTTTTGGAGGTTTGATTTTCCATCTAATTTAATAATGTTATGTAACAACATGCTTGATCCTATCCCAAATGAGATAAATGAGGAAAAACCCACATAGACCCGATACCCCATTTTACTTAGTTTTTTAGCCTGTAATGGATCTCAATTGTGGGTGAATGAGGACTATTTTTAGAGCATTTTTTTGTCTAATTAATACTGAGGTTAGGTACAGCATGCTTGATCTTGTCAAACACAACGATAAAACGAGCACAAAGCTGCATAGGCCCAATACCTCGTTTTACTCAGTTTTTTAGTTGGTAATGGATCTTGATTGTGGGTGAATTGAGGAATATTTTTGAGCATTTTCTTTCCCGTCTAATCAATACTTAGAGTAGGTAAACAGTGTGCTCGATCTCATTGAAAACTGATGATAAAATGAGCAAAAAGCTGCATAGGACCAATACCCCATTTTACTTAGTTTTTCGGTCGATAATGGATCTCGATTATAGGTGAATCAAGTGCTACTTTTGGAGCATTTTCTTTTTTGTCTAATCAAAACTAAGTTAGGTAAATAGCATGCTCGATCTCATCAAAAACTTGATGATAAAATGAGCAAAAGCCATATAGGCCCGATACCTCGTTTTACTCAGTTTTTAGCCATAATGGATCTCATTGTGGGTGAATTGAGGACTATTTTTTGAGCTTTTTCTTTTTCGTCTAGTGAATACTAGGTTAGATAAACAAGATGCTCAATCTCGTCGAAATTCTAATTATAAAACAAGCAAAAAGCCGTAGGCCTGATACCTGTTTTACTAGGTTTTCAGTCAGAATGGATATCGATTGTGGGAGAATTGAGGACTGTTTTTTGTGCTTTTTTTTCTGTCTAATGAATACTAATTTTAGTTAAAGCATGCTCGATCTCATCAAAATCTGATCATGAAACGAGCAAAAAGCCACATACGCCCGATACCCTGGGTTACTTAGTGTTTCAGTCGTAATGGATCTCAACTCTAGGTGAATCGAGACTATTTTTTTAGCGTTTTCTTTTCCATCCAATCAATACTGAGGTTAGTAAACAACATGCTCGATCTCGTCAAAAATCTAATGATAAAACGAGCAAAAAATAGCATAGGCCTGATACCCCATTTCTCTGTTTTTTAGCCGTAATGGATCTTGATTGTAGGTGAATTGTGAACTATTTTTAACCATTTTCTTGTCTGTCTAATATAAACTTAATTTATAACAAAATACCCCTACCACCCTAAGCCATTGCCTGCCACCCCATTCGCCACTAGAAGTCGACAAAAGTCTTTAGAGTCACCGTGAATAGCCCACCGTCATGAGAGGCTCCGATATGCGTTTCTAGCCATATTGATGGCTAAAAACACCCCTATCAAGTAGATCTTGCCGAAATGGCTAGATCTATTCTAGCCTTTGGCCAGATCCATAGCCTTTACCACAATCTAGATGAGATTGGCGTTAATGGCCATGGATCTTGACGTTAATGATGGATCTATTCTAGCCGAATATATATGCCGTTAATGGCCAGATCTCGTTCAAATATGGCTTTATTTTTTGGTTAATTGACATGATTTGGTACTGATTTCATAGTTGACCTTGACCTTGTAAGTGGAGTCAATGATGATGAGCAACTGAGAAGTGTATTGTTGTTACGGAACTGAAGTAACGGAATTAAATACAAATGCAAAATAATTTGACATAAATTAAATGAGATTGGTTCTAATGGGGACTAAAGTGACTTTTTCAAATTTTAATGTACTGAAGATACTTTTCTCAAATCTCTAGAATGAAAATGTTATTAACTAGTGTAAAAAAATTAAATTTAAAATTAGACAAATAAGGCTCCGTTTGGCTTATTATTTCTATCCATATTCCTAATCCTATTCCCAAAATACTTATTCATTTTGTTATTTGAGAAATATTAGTATATTTTTTAATTACTTTTAGTCCCCTTAAGTTTATTAATTTCATTAAATATCCCCGAAAAAAGTTTAAAAATTAACAAAAACACCCTCACCCACCCACCCATATTTGCCAGATTCCGACAACCACCGTCGGTGGCAGCAAATTTGTCACAACGGCCTACAAACAACTGGAATTAGACGGTAATTCACCGATCTGACCTTTTTCAGCTAGATCCATAGTGGATCTCGTTGGAAAATGCCAAATTTGGCAGTCAGTGATAACCAAAGAAATGGTCGTCATTGATGGTCAACGATGGCTAAATCTTTACCATTGTTGATCGATAACGACGACCATATCTTTGGGCATCGTAGACGACCAGATCTAGACTTGTGCGGTAATCGACGACCAGATCTGGCCGTAGATTTGGCCTTTTTCGACCAGATCTATGGTGGATCTGACCCGAAAAAGGCCATATCAACGCCCTACCCACCAGATCTGACTGGTCTGCAGTGTAACATTATTTTTTTGGCTAGGTTCCGATGGTGGTGGCCGGAATTTGGCACTGTGGGTGGGTGGGGGTGTTTTTGTTATTTTACAAAAATTTTATATATTGGGGTGTTTAGTTAAATTAGCAAACTTAAAGGGTTTTTTTGTTAAATTTTAAATTTTACTTCGTAATACTCCCCTATTCAATTACCTAATATTATTCCCAAAATCCTATCCAAAATAACAAAACAAACGGACCCTAAATTATCCTTTTTTGGTTTTCTACTATAAACTTAATAAGTACTAGACTTGACAAAGCGGATGGGTGGGCTGGGTACGGGTTGGCCATCACGGGTACGGGTCTAATAAGGGTCGATGTATATGGGTCTAAAATATTGGACTTGTACCCTACCCTATACGGCTATGGGTGGACCCGCGGGTACCCGTTTTTTTTCTCTTCAGGTTTCAGTTTTTACATTTTCACCCAAATAGTTTTTAGTTATAACAGTTACACCTCCAAAATTCCTACAGTTCTAAAAATTGTACAAGACATTAGAAATAATTCATTACAAAATTCTAAATTTGAACCATGGCTCCAATTTTGTAGCATATGCATAACGCATTTTCATAATTCTACTTGTGAAAATAGGCAAATAGCTTCATTTCAAACAGGGACAACCGGACATCTATTACTCTAAAAACAGTGCCTGCAAATCTGCAATTCACTAACTCTAAGCACAAAAATCCTCAACATTTACTATTCATACTTCATATAGAGAGATTTCACGAATCAGCCAAAATATACAAATCTTGAAACATCAAACAAGCTGCAGCTTTTCTGGAACAAAGATGGATACAATAAAAACAGATCTTGAAACCCAACTCATGTATCTGCTGCAATGGTGGGGAGAAGAGTCGCGAGTCTTGCGACGAAGAGAGAGAGGAGATGACGAGCCGACGCCTGACGACGTGAGAGAGAGGAGATGACGAGTCGATGCCCGACGACGTGAGAGAGAGGAGATGACTAGCTGATGCCCAAGTCCCGACGACGTGAGAGAGAGAAGATGACCAGCCGAAGGTGATGAGTGAGGGCTACCGGCGACGGTGGTACTGGGAATGGGAACCACAGATTAGATGAGAGACTGAGAGTTTACAAAATGAATGAATCAAGTTTAGGTGAGGATCGTGAGGTATACTGATGATGAATGAGTGATGACTGATGTAGTGATGAGAGATCGAGAGGCGGGACTGCGGGAGAGAATTGTTATCTTGAAGATGAAGATATGTTTTAAAGTATGAGTTAGGGACTTAGCCACTTAGGGTTAGGGATTTGCAAAAATTTGTACCCATGGGTGCCCGCAAGTTCACCCATATAACCTTTCAACTATATGGGTCGGGCCGGGTAAGGGTAAAAACAAAATGGGTCTAATAAATTGGACCCATATCCTATATTTTCTACCCCAGTATGGACCAACCCATGAACTCGTTTTGCCATGTCTACTTTAAGAACTGGGCTAGGCCGGGTGGTCTGGCTAGAAACTTTCTCCGTAAGATTCCCAGCTTTCTTAGCAGCAGGTCCGTAAAGGCGCCACTTACTACTGTCTACTCATATCATCTGCGAGCGCCAACTACACGCCCCAATATTTTGCGTGCCTATTCAAATACATTTAAATTAAAAAAAAAAATCTGAATTTTTGTAAAACTACCATTGCGAAACCCTAACTGCAGGAGAATCACTCTCTCCTTTACGTCTCTGATAAAAACGAACCCTAATTCTGTTTAAAGTTCCCATTTATCTTTATACATTCATAAATTCGACAAATGCTACATCCAAGACCTTGATTTTCCCCAAATTTCAAACTCTGATCGCCATGTCCTCCAGCAATCGCCGGGAGACTCCTCCGGCGACCGGAGACTTGAAGAACGGCGTCGTCTCCGAAGATTCGAGCCAGAGGCAGTCGCAGCTGGTGACGGTGGTGGTAGCGCNAGTACTGGGCTAGGCCGGGTGGTCTGGCTAGAAACTTTCTCCGTAAGATTCCCAGCTTTCTTAGCAGCAGGTCCGTAAACGCTCCACTTACTGCTGTCTACTCATATCATCTGCGAGCGCCAACTACACGCCCCAATATTTCGCGTGCCTATTCAAATACATTTAAATTAAAAAAAAAAATCTGAATTTTTGTAAAACTACCATTGCGAAGCCCTAACTGCAGGAGAATCACTCTCTCCTTTACGTCTCTGATAAAAACGAACCCTAATTCGGTTTAAAGTTCCCATTTATCTTTATACATTCATAAATTCGACAAATGCTACATCCAAGACCTTGATTTTCCCCAAATTTCACACTCTGATCGCCATGTCCTCCAGCAATCGCCGGGAGACTCCTCCGGCGACCGGAGACTTGAAGAACGGCGTCGTCTCCGAAGATTCGAGCCAGAGGCAGTCGCAGCTGGTGACGGTGGTGGTAGCGCCGAGCCAAAACCAGAGGCTGCGGCTGAACCCCAACAAGGACCACAAGCCGGAGAGCTACGAGGATCTGCAACTTGATTTCAGTCCTTCTATTTTTAGCTCTTTGGAGAGGTACTTGCCTCCAACTATGCTTGGTGTGAAAAGAGATGAAAAAGCGAAGTTCATGAGAGAGATTCTGTTGAAGTACTTGCCGCATGGGGAGAGAACAAGAGTATGCTATGCTATGTATCAGAATTTAATCTTTTCTTTTTCCTGTTTGCTGAGATCGAAAAGCTAAGAAAAAGAAAATTTTAGAATTCCTGTAAGAATATCCTTTTTCGAGGAATTAAATCGTGGATATAATTGGAAGAGTGATACGAACTTCTGATTAGGTTTTATATTAATGTGTGCACTTTTCTTGCTTACATTTCTCGTCCGTGTTTTCAAATTGCAATGACGGAATTCTCCTTTTTGTTTTTTTTTTTTTTTTAAATAGATATTTCGATTGAGATTTAGGAATATATATTGAGTTAACGAGCTTGAAACCTAGGTTACTAGACAAATGAATAAGCAGAAGAGATTTTGATTTTGGATCATTTACATTACAAGGAGGTCCAAGTTAACTAGCTTGTTGGCTGGGTCACTAGGCAAATGAGTACGCAGAAGAAATATTGATTTTGAACCACTTTACAGTACAAGGATGTTCCGAATAACTATGTTGTTAGTTTAGTCACTGGACAAATGAGTAAGCGAACGAGATTTTGATTTTGGATAATTTTACATATAGAAGAGGTTCCAGTGCAGTGAAAATTGAAGTATAGAGGTTGAACTAGAGTAATCTCTTCCTCAATTTTGTTTAAGCATCTAAAAAGATGCCATGCCAAAAAATCTTAATATTATAGAAACTCTGACTTGATAATCATTGCTTAATTGTTTGATGTTGTTCTAAAACTTAATTTATGTGTGAATAAGTTTAGAATGGGTAATTTTTTTATTTGAAGATATAAAGTTGTTAATGTGATTGAGTTAGCCGGGCTTTTCTGAATGGGTCACTACGCAAACTGATTAAAAAATGTTGTCACTGTACCAAAAGTTATTGTGTAATCATATAATTGAGGACATGCCCAATTTGGTACTCAACTTAAGGCATAGCTTAATTGTTTTACTGCCCAATATCTTCTCTTTCATTCAGCTCATTTTAGTGGTGGTAGCACCTTGTGTTATTGTACTGCATTTGTTGACAATCTGTTTAGCCTTGTTGTTAGGACATGTTTATTTATCTTCTAAGTTGCTCTTATGAGTCTTCTGCCCTGCGTACTCAATCAAATTAGTGTAGGTTTTAACATTGAATTCACTTGTAGCTTTTCTTCCCTTGAAAAGCAAGTTATGTACTGTATTGAAGCTTCTTAGTTGTTATGATTAACAAAACATACAGAATTTTATATTTACCATACTTATCTGCTGGAGACACTTTATGACTTTTGTTTGGAATGTCATGTATTAGGTTCAGAGACATAGAGAATACAGGCAGAAGATAATATCAAATTACCAGGTATTACACTTGCTGTGGATTCTTTGATCGGTTTTTCCCTTTCGGAGGATATGAGATAATTGATAAACACTGCCCTTTCACTTCTATGCAGCCTCTGCATCGAGAGTTATACACTATGCACCCTACAACCTTCTTTGTCCCTTCATTTCTCAAAGCGATCAGTGATAACACAGAGCAAAGTTTTAGAAATATAATTTCAGAACCTTCTCCAGGCGTGTTCACTTTTGAGATGCTTCAGCCGCGCTTCTGCGAGTTATTGTTAGCTGAGGTAATAGCCTATCGAGTACTTAAGTGTACTTTTGCATATGTATTCTTACGTTTTTTATTCTATAGGTTGAAAACTTTGAAAAGTGGGTTAATGAAGCAAAATTTCGAATCATGCGACCGAATACAATGAATAAATATGGTGCTGTACTTGATGATTTTGGCCTTGAAACCATGCTTGACAAACTTATGGAGAGTTTTATTCGTCCTCTATCCAAAGGTGATGTCTATGTGTTCATAGTGGAAATTCCAATATCTGCTATTTTACTAGAAGATATTCCTAGTCATTATAGAACATTTTATGTAATCTAACAGATTTAATTATTCTTTTTTGTCAGTTTTCTTTGCTGAGGTTGGTGGATCAACTTTGGATTCTCATCATGGTTTTGTTGTTGAATATGGTAAAGATAGGGATGTTGATTTAGGTAGGTTTTTTTTCCTATTAATTTCTTTTGAGATTGTCCTTCTAACAATTCACTTGATTTTACTTTCTCAAATGGTTTATATGTGCATTCAATTGTGGTAAACTTTGAAATGGGAAATTTTGACTGGTTTAACAATTAGCTTGTACTAATTACATTGCAATTATCATTTTGTTTATAACAGTATATATAGCCATAGTTATCATTTTTACTCATTAAGTTGCCACTGAGCATACAGAAGTTGGCTGCAGATGCATTTTGCTTTTCAAAATTTAAAATAGAATTCACTATGTCAGTATACCAGCTACAAGAAGTCCTGTTTAATAGCATATATGCACTCCTTTATTAGATTTCAGTTCAATCAAAACCATGTACTCTGAACATGAAAAACATTATATTTGTAGGCTTTCATGTGGATGACTCAGAAGTAACTTTGAATGTATGCTTGGGTAAGCAATTTTCTGGTGGAGAATTGTTTTTCCGGGGAACGCGATGTGAAAAACATGTAAATACAGGAAGTCAGTCAGAGGTATGTTTAGTCTTTAAGGTGTAACAATATCTAAGTGGCTTGTTCACTGCTTTGAAAGTCCTTCAATCAATTTATGTTTTCTTGAGTTTCTTATTGTAATAATAAATAAATTAATAAATTAGAAGCAGATTGGTATTAAGCAGAGGTAATATCCTTCTAAGCTAATGTTTTTTTAGGTTTGCACAAGGACTACATGAGTTCCAAAGTCAATATAATATACCTAGAAACATGATAATCGGCCCTATGGATGGGTGATTGGCATTGTGGTGCATCAAACTTCTAGCTTCTGGCATTTAAGACCTTTATATATAGTGCGTTGTTTCATATTGGTGTTCCATATCTAGCTTTTTTGGCTAGTCGCACTCTGAAAATGGTTAGACTGTTTCCTTAAGAGTACAATGCACATATCACAATTCTGATATTAATAAATGAATACATTTATATTGTGAGGTTTTATTTTATCTAATTTAATTTATTTATTTTTGGGTAGGAATATGTATTGAGTTAAATGAGTAATATTATTGGAAATGAAATAACTCCCATCACAATAGATTTGTCATGAGTTTTGGACTGTGCAATGCAACACAAGGTCTAGAGTTAAGCATTGAAGTTATTGACAATGATGGTGAGGGTTGTAGTTGTAGTTGTGAGTTGACTCATGAGGTAGAAGTGCAACGATGTCATCCCTTCAGGTTTTCAATATAATAACAATAATGACCATACTAGTCATATTTGTACTAAGTTTGCTCATATGGTTGGAGTGATGATTCATCATGGTGAGTTTTTGCTGATTTTCTGTTAGGTGTTTTTGTCTAGCTGTAGTTAGGTGCAAATGTCTTGGAGGATCTACCATTGGTGTGTCCTAGCAAGATAGTTTAACAGGATAGATTTCTGGGTAAATTAGAATTCTCGGTGACAGAATGAAATATTAAAGATTTCAATAATTTTTTGGATAGCGTACGATTGTGTCTTTTGCCAATACAATTGTGTTCTAGACCTGTATTGCTAATTTGAATTATTATTGACAATGGTAAATTTTTTTTTTTCTTGCATTGTATGTCTCTTTTCTTACCGCATAATATGTATATCTATCTCTGTGTGCGTGCACTTGTGTATATTTATATATAACTAAGGTATTACAAACTTTCTATGGCTCTACATTTTCTTGATGGAGTTTTCTCTTGAAAGTAGGAGATCTTTGACTACGCTCATGTCCCTGGACGAGCTGTACTTCATCGTGGTCGTCACCGCCATGGTGCTAGAGCCACAACATCTGGTCATAGGATCAATCTACTCCTATGGTGCAGAAGGTACATACTATTTCTTACACTTCATTTATAGCTTCTGTTTCACCTAATCTTTGGGTTTATGACTTCTTGCAAAAAGTTAATTTATCAGTATATTGAATTAGTGTTACATTTTTTTTTCAGCGTGTCATTTGACATTTTGATGAAATATTGTTTCTGTCATGGCAATTTTAGTATTTGGAATTTTTTATTTTCTGATGTGACTCCTATACCAACTAAACAAGGAACTCATCAGTGTTATCTGAATATTTTCTTAGTCATAGTTGCATTAAAGTTTAGCCATTCTCTTTTCCCTTCCTTCATTTGATCACTTCTATTAGGAATGATATTTCGAATATCCAGTTTGAGACTTGATGTATACAGCATCAACCAAAATTTGATCATGTTGCCCTTTGGTAAACACGATTTCACTTGTCCTTGGGATGCACTGGCTTATAATATTGCAGATATCCTCTGCATATCCCTTGTGATTGGAATTTGGAATTCAAACCCAATAGCATTTTGGAGCCCATTTGTGCCTTAGTTAGTTATTCTTGAGAATGCATTTGGCTTCTTTTTGTTGGAGTTGCACATCAAGTCCACTAGTTTTATAATTTGGGTGCAACTCAATATATGATAGTTGGATCATTTTTATGTGATATTGTGGATGAATAAGCTGTTGCTTATTTAAACTGCATAAGTAATAGTTTGTGGAATGTAATAAGCATAAGATGCAGAATCATTTGTAATTATTTAAAAGTATTTGGCAGTTCCCAATTATGATCTGACAATCTTATATATGATCTATGTTGCACGATTGGCAACCCACTGGGAGCCCTTCAAAGTGATTGGGTTGGACACTGGAATTATCTTACTTCTGGTTGCATGTTAATTGAAAGTTGGATTAATTTCAATTGTTTGAATATGGCTAATGAAAGTTGAGTTGAACTGGGTTATTAGTTTGCCAAAACATGAAATTGTTTTCTGCCAAGACAATAAAACAGATTTAATTTTCCTTCAGCTGTGGGAAAATGTTAATGGGTATATAAGTAGAAATCCAACTAGAGACACTGCATTGCAGAATGTTGCATCAAATGCTGCTAGCTTGTTCTGCTTGGTGTTGAAAGAGATCTAAATAAAAGAATTATCATCTTGACTTGGTTATGATTTCTCTATTTCCTTAAGAATAAGCTTCCACCTCTATCAGATAAGTGCTTAGGGTTTAGGTTGCAATTAGAACATTTCTGGTTTGCCCATTATCTATTTTGTAAGTCCACCATTAACTTCCACCATTAACTTTTTTTTTTTCTTATTAAAAAAAAAAAAACTAAATAGTCATTGGTGCACTTTGAGTTAATAAGATTACAGAAGTTATAAAGTGGTGTGATAATGCTTACTGAAAAATTGTAAACCTGCTGCTTCAGCTGATTCATCTTCTGCTTGTCATTTCTTATACTGGACTTGTTATATAGTTGGCTGTAGAAGTTCCATTGCCTCTGTTCTCACAAGTTCATTTTTTTTTCTCCCAACAGTTCGATCTTTAGAGAGATGAAGAGGTACCAAAAAGATTTCTCTACCTGGTGTGGAGAATGCTCCCGTGAGAAGAAAGAAAGGCAGCGGTTATCAATTGCTACTACCAGATCGGTAAAGAATTCTATGATTGCATGCGTACGCATTTATGATTTTGGCATACACAATAACGCACTCTAGAATATACTTGCATTAGCACTTGTGACTGACTAATTAAGTTTATTAAATAGGTTGTAGATTCCCAATGGTCAAAAGCCACGAAGGGAGGAGAAATATGTTTACTTAAATACATAAAGCATGCACGTCTCTCTTATGATGAGAACAAATGGATCGATGAAAGGAGAATTTCTCATGCTGTCAATGTAGTATGGTTCTTAGTGAAGTCACTTTTGTAATACAAGTGGAGATTAAATTAATAATAGCAGGTGGCCTGCAATTATTAATTTGTTTGAAATATCATAGTAATAATTTGCTTAAGACTGAGAATTGCTGTTGATAAAGCTGGAAATTATATGCCAATAGGATGTTATATGAGTTCTAGGACAAAGATATGCTTAAAGAAATCTGATTGTGCATTTTGGTGAAAATGAATGAGCTAATTTCCTATATTCTACTGTGTGACGGTAGGTGATGAATGACGATAATAAGGTGTGGTAGAAACACAACTACTAATGAGAAGTATTATTCTCTTCAACCAAAATTAACAATTGGTTGGAAAAGAGGGAAACTTTCCTCATGTGTGGTTCCCCTAAAATCTTCCTTGTTGAGAAATGTGCTTTCCTGAAATCAATGCACTTCTCTAATAAATACTTGGATACTTGGTGGACTAAGTATTGATATAAACTGATTTAATCTTATGCAGGAGTTGCTTAGGAGGGAAGGTGAATCTACCGCATGAACTTTTCCTGTTGTAACTTTGTTGGGTGATTGTAAAACAATGTAGCTCTAGTTGTAACTAAGATGGTGAAGCAGTGCTAATCGGTAACCTCTGAAAAAATTGTTTCATGCTTCGAATCGGCTTGAAACAGTTCTATGTAAAAATCATATCAAGTTGATGGGATACTTCATTGTGTAGCAGCATGTGTGCAATTTTTGTATAAAACGTTTTAATGCTAATCTGATTAGTACTGAATTCATAGGTCTTAGCATTATTTTTCATGTACTTAACAAAATCATTGTCAATAAGTCTATGACCAGACTTATTAGTAGTTGAGTCATCAGTGCATGTACTAGGGTTTTTCTCAACTAAACCCATTTTATTGTCGCTTTTGCCCGAGTTTTTGGCAATTTTCTTTTTTTATGTTAGAAAAAAAAAAATCTTAATTTTTACCCTTAATAATAAGATAATTTTTAGTACTTAAAAGTTAAAATCTTTACAGCGTTAGATCGATTCATTAGTTAGATGGATAGAAATTTCCTTATTCAATTTAAATTTAGTAAAAATATTCCGTCCCCAAGCTGTGCTGGCATTTTTTATTGCTCACAAGCTTTTCCTATGTATAACATTGAAAATCCTTTTCTTTCCCTAAAAACTTAAAAAGACGCTAAAAAAGTAGGATACAGAGTTGATTAATTTTTATTATTCTTGTTATTGATGGAGCCTCGGATGGATGTATTTATCGTTTCGGTAACCGTACAAAGATGAGCAACAAATAGTTTTGTGTGTAAATTGGGTGTTCGAGTGTAAAAGAAAGCANGGGGTGGTGGGGGTGTTTTTGTCATTTAGCAACCTTTTTATATATGGGGGTGTTTAATTACATTAGCAAACCTAGGGGGTTTTTTAGAAATTTTTAAATTTATAAAAAACAAAAATTGAAACTTTGAAGGGCATTTTAGTCTTTTCACTATTAATAAACAAAAATCATTAACAGAATATAACGGAAGGTACCTATTTGTCGTTTCAAAACCTTTTGGATATCAACTTATGATTATGATAAACTTTGGGTATGCACAAGTCGTTCGGCCTCCCTAAAAACTTAAAAAGACGCTAAAAAAGTAGGATAGAGAGTTGATTAATTTTTATTATTCTTGTTATTGATGGAGCCTCGGATGGATGTATTTATCGTTTCGGTAACTGTACAAAGATGAGCAACAAATAGTTTTGTGTGTAAATTGGGTGTTCGAGTGTAAAAGAAAGCAAACAAAAAAGACTTGTTTAAATATTTAGAAAAATCGAAAAACATTAAAGTTCCAAAAAAGAAAAAAAAAAAATGAAGTGTAAATATAACTGCTTATTACAATTTATTATTGTCTATTTTATGAGGTTTTCTTCAAGATTCCTCAAATATTAAAATTTATTTGATTTTTTGTTCTTTTTTAATCTTACTATAGTGGTGGTTTATTGTTGCTATTTGTTACCGAAATTTAATTTTTGGTTAAACCCTTAAACGAATCCGGGATTCAATTCCGCTACGCCCAAACACCGCACTTCTCGTCATCTCCGTTTGTTTCGCGAGAAAATAATCAATTTCGCATACACCGCTTCTTTCATTGAACGAAATCACGACTCCAGAATGAGTGAAAGCGAGAACCTGCAGCACAAGCGCGAAGGTAACTTCGACTTCAATTCGGTGGCAAAGAAGTCAAAAATGGAAAAAGTTGAAAAATCAGAATCGTTTATTGAAATAGAAGCTGATGCAGCCGAAGATAAAGGGTCGAGACACACCATGGAGGACGCTTGGGTTGTCAGGGTGGATGCCTTCGCCGATTCTCCTGACAGTTTGAGGTTGTTTTTGTCTTTTTAATCATTCAATTGCATATAATTTGGTTTGGTTTTGATGAGTATAGAAAATGTTTTTAATTATTAGATGTGCGCATTTTGCAATATATGATGGACATGGAGGTCGTTTAGCTGCAGAGTATGCACAGAAGCATTTACACGCTACTGTTGTTTCAGCTGGCTTACCACGTGAGTTGGTGTGTCTTGTGTTTCTTTACCAATGGATTGTGTAACTTTGTAACTTGGCTGTTAGTAATGTGGAGTTATGTCGTTCACTGTTCTTTTTAGCTTATATCACGTGTTGTTCAGCTCACTTGATTTGAAAAATCACTTGGGATAATGAATTTAAGAAAATATCAGAACGTTGAGTTCCTTTATCTAATTTCAAGGACTGTAGGACCCCTGTTTCGTCCTGGTGTCTCCAAATTAGAACTTGATGCATGCACATGTGAGGACAAGGATTTCTTGGTATCAAAGAGGTTTTGAAGCGTTGTTTTATTACTTGCTTTCTGTTTTACTGTGCTTGGCTTTTTGTTTATGGTATTGGTTTATTCCTTATATACGTATGCAATGCTATGGCTCTTATTGTATAGCTGTGGTGTCTGTGAATTCATAATAGTATGTTATCTAGTGAACTGCATTCAGATTGAATTTGTTGAACTTTATTATTATTGGTTTGTGTTTTATGTTGCTCTTTGATGTTGCAGCTGGATGTGAAAGCTGCCAAAAAGGCCATACTTGAAGGTACAAATCAATATTTTCATCTTGTCTTTTTGGGCCTTAATCATCATCATTCTAATTTTGTCAAGTGCTTTGTTTAACAATGTAGGTTTTCTGAAAACAGACGAGTCTCTTCTTCAAGAGAGTGCTTTAGGTAAATACCTCAATAGAATTTATGTTATTTATCTTTTTAAACAATATTATTCTCTTTGATCTTCCAGCTTCCTCTTTCAATTTTAAATTTTATTTTAACACATAGGATGTGAACTTTAGGTTGCTATATATTACCCCCCAAAAAAAAAAAAAAAAAATTGTAGACATTGCATCTTTTATAATTTTTTTTCTTTTTACAATCTTCTTTCTTTTTGTTGTCAATTCTACAATAAATAATCTACATCTGTTTGTTGGTTTAAATGTTCTTATCAGGAGGATGGCAGGATGGTGCTACAGCCGTTTGTGTCTGGGTACTTGGACAAACTGTAAGTGCACAGCTTAACTTTTATCAAATGAATTACTCAAATGTCTAACTTAGAAATTGTGGCAAGAAGGCATAAAACAAGTTGTGGTTTTTTTTTTTTTTTTTTTTTTTTAAAATACCCGGCTTAATGTATTTAAATTCTTATCAACTATTGAACTACAAGGAAGCAGGTGCAGCACAGCCTTTTTGTTTGGGGGCCGTAACATCTAGAAAGGGACTTCTGCCCCTAGATGTTTCTGGAATGGAATGTCTGGTTGTGTGCTTTCCCTTATTGAGGCTCATACACATTTATTAATGACACTTGCATGGCATCATTCGAACTTGCATCACAGTATAGTTAATCCACATTGTAACTTGTACTGATTTAACTTTTGGTTGTATGCTTGATTGTTTTTTTGCTTCATATTTCTTATCAACATATACTTGATTAAGTGGTGGTACTTCTTCTAGGTTTTTGTCGCTAATGTTGGGGATGCAAAAGCAGTAGTAGCACGATCTGTGGTTGATGGGTCCCAGAATCATACAGATGGTTTAAGTTCTTTGAAGGCCATTGTGGTGACAAGGGAACACAAAGCTATCTATCCGCAAGAACGTGCTCGCATACAAAAGGTGAGGATGAGGATTACATACATGCAAAGTGTTATATTCAAAAGTACTTTCATGTTTATGAATGATGCACACACACACACAAATATATAACTCTTGCCAAGGATCATGCTTTCAAATTGATGCACAAAATTACTGTCATGCTTACAAGTTCAGGTCTTTCAGACTGCTGGCCATCTTCTTATGGTTAGCTTGTCTTTCTTTTTCACATTTTGATGGTGAGTTCAAGAAGCAATAAAGTCGTGATATGCATACCCTTGGGTGATCAGGTCTGATGAATTCCTCAGTATGTTTTTATCTGCTTCTATCAAGTGACGGGGCCTTAAAAATTCTTCAGTTAGAATTGAAAATTGAATTTTGGTTACATAATTAAAAATTCGTCTGTTAGTTGGACAACTTGCTTTCTAGTTGGGAAGCTTCAGCAGGAGACAGAATTGTGATATAATAAGTAAATATTAATGCCTTTTCAATCTCAATAGTAATTTTATTTTTAGTAATACAAATTGAGGTTAGATTCAGAGAATTTTAAATTTTGGAATATCCGTGCTTGCTTGGCTCATATTAGTAGAGCGAGTGCTTGTGAATTTTGGCATGCAAGGAATATGGATTTGATTAATAGACAATTAATTGATTTTGTGATCATGGGCAAAAGTGAAGTTTGGATTTTAAAGACCATATGAAGGTGCTTGATTTGATTCAAGTTTTACCCAGCCAATCTGAGTAGGGCAATACCGTGGTTAGCATGGCTTATTTATTTTCATATTTTGGGATACAATGACTTTATTCTGATTGAACTTTTCTTTGCTTTGACTTATTATATAACTTAATCTTCTAGAAGTCTCAGCGTAGTTTACATTAATCAAACCTTGAAGGATGTTGATCTGATGTGATTCCTACTAGTTTTTCAACCCCAGTGTTTCTGCCCTTAATTACTAGTCATCCTCTATGCTGACATTTTCTTTGCTTGGCTGAACCCCTTTGTTTGTCTTTCATAAATAATAAAACTTTGATGGAGATAGAAATTGAAAGAAACAATAATGAATTTTTTGAACTTTGCTTATCTATTTGCCATATTGGTATAATTTGTTATTTCTTCCCATTGTGTGAGAAAATTAGAAAATAATTATGTCAAAAACTAAATTTCTGAGACTTAAAATGTAAAGAGATGATCCAGACCATAAGTAAAACAAAAAGGTTTGTCAGTATTGTATGATAATATTGTATTTCCAGATAAGGGAGCTTGGTCAGTATATTTATGTCATTGCCTTTCAATTCTTATTATTATCTGAATTCTGAGGTGAATCCTTGTGAGATACTAACTATTTTGTTTCTGCTTTCTGAGGCTGGTGGTACTGTGAGTACAAATGGACGATTACAGGGACGCCTTGAAGTTTCTAGGGCTTTTGGCGATCGCCAGTTCAAAAAGGTTCTTAGTTCTCATCTTTTGCTCAAATGACCCTGCAGTATCACATTTCCTCTGTATTCAAATCCAAGAGAATTGTGTTAATTTTACATTTCTTAATTTAAGTACATTCCACATCAGTATATGAAATATGCTTTGTAGATATTCTTCTGGGGTTCATTATAACCAATCTTATTGTGGGCTTGCAATTCAAATAATTTTTATTCTATTTTGGCTACAGAACTTTTGGGTCATCTTATTATGTACGATGTGTTTGAATTTTAATGTAGCATGTGAATTGCAGTTTGGCGTTGTTGCAACCCCAGACATTCATTCCTTTGAGCTTACAAACAGGGAGGAGTTCATCATTCTTGGCTGTGATGGGCTATGGGGGGTATGTCTTCTGTTAAAAGTTTTGAAATCTCCATTCATGTAATGAGAAGTCATATTTTTATCAGGCCTTCCTTGATCTCAGATAATAAGAATTTAGTTTTCCCTCAGGTGTTTGGACCAAGTGATGCTGTTGAGTTCGTGCAGAAATTATTAAAGGTAGGAACGCACTTCCACTTATCAAAAAGACTTTCCATCTCCATATGTTGGCTATTCATAATTCCATATTCTAAACTAAAATTAAGGAAATGTTGTCATATCATTTGCCACATAGGTTAAGATATAAAGTTAGGATCCTAATTTTGTATGTGTAGCATTATTGTTACTTAAAGAGGCTTACATATGTTTGCAGGACGGTTTATCTGTCACAGCTGTGAGCCGCCGTCTTGTAAGGGAAGCAGTTCTTGAGCGGCGCTGTAAAGATAATTGCACTGCAATTGTCATTGTTTTCAGACACAAGTGATTGCAGCACCATTTTATCCCAAACCAAATTTCTTGCTTCTTGGTCACCTGTTGCAGAAGGATTGTTTCTTGTTTGTTGTACAATCTCACCACATACATGCTTGGTGAGTTATTCAGTTTTGCATACCATACCATCTGAGTTAGGTTTAGCATGTTACTTTGGCTATTTATATTCAATATTCAACTGTTAAAATTTTGTAATTGATGTGATAGCTGCTAGACTTGTATCCTTTTTCTTTTTAGTTCCAATTGCATGTTGTACAACAATGATTAATGATTGACAAATGAATTGCTGTATGAAGAACGGTAAAGATAAGTATCTTTTTCTACTGATATTCTATGACCAGCACTCAACTATTAAATAGCTTTAATGTACTTGTTCATGTTGCATATATACTATCAATAATTAACCAAAAAATCAACAATAGGATATTATCTTCCTTGGGTTTCTTTATTATTGAATATCATAGAGTATGACATTGATCCCTAATTCAAAGAGATTTCTAGTTTATTATTGGTTCATTTCGCTATTGTGAATAGATGAATTATGTGTTTGTGATGTTAATTCAAAGTTGGGCTTGCGAACAAATGATACAAAATAACCACATACATAAATACGAGATTTATAGTGGTTCATTTTTCATATGAGAGTTACATTCGCTTTGCCATTGTGGAATTTCATTATAAAGAAGAAAAAAAAAAAATTGCGAGAATCTCTCAAGCTTTATAAATTGGTTAACTCACTAAATCCTATTAGATGGCTTTCACTCTTTAATTGCAGTTTTGTCTTCTATTCAATTTGTGATATCTAACTCAAAGAGTTAACCATTTTTTTATAAGTAATTTGTGATACGGTTCCAATAGGACTCAAATCTCATATACTAATAGAATTTATTTTAATTCCTAATACATATAATCCTATTCCCATTATATTCCTAAAAAACAATTCTACTTGAATACAAATTAGGAAAATCTATGTTCTAATCCAACTCTAATTTGGATTGAATTTGGCTCTGCAATCTCAACAATCTCCCACTTGGAGACTAATTTAACATGTCTTCAATTCTCACTTCCATTATAGCGACATCAACTTTCTTTCTTCAAGCGAGAAGTCCAACTGAAATTGTGTACAATGGTAACCCTTCGTAAATATATCACTCGGATTTTTACTCATTTAAATCTTCTCAGAGCTATAACTCCTTCTTCCAAAACTAAGCGTATGAAATGGTAACGAACTTCTATGTGTTTTGTCCTAGTATGATAGACTGGGTTTTTCGCCAAGTGAATTGCACTTTGACTATCACAATACAAACGCTCTTTTCATAATTCTGACCCATTCTGATAGATCGCTGTAACCATATTAGCTCCTTACTAGTTTCCTGTCATAGCAACATACTCTGCTTTTGTAGCAGAATGAGCAAAAATTTTCTGTAACTTTGAAACCTAACTGACAACTATACCACCTAACGTAAAACATAACATTGGTACTCTTGTGGTTATTAATGTCACCAACCATATCAACATCCACATAACCTTGTAGCTTTAAGTCTGGCTTCCTAAAGCATAATGTTGAATCTTTAGTTCCTTTAAATATCTAGAATCTACTTTACTACTTTCCAATGTTGCTTTCCTGGATTGCTCATGTACCTACTCACAACTCCTACTGCATGTGCTATGTCTGGTCTTGTACACACCATGGCATATTAAGACTACCAATCACTGATGCATAGGGTACCTTCGCCATGTAGTCTCACTCATGCTTTGTTGCATGTGACCGATCTTTGGATAGTTTAAAGTGACTAGTCAAGGAGTACTTACTGGCTTTGTTCCATCCATGTTGAACCTATTGAGTACTTCTTCACATACTTTCTTGTGATAGCTTCAAGAAACTTTTGGCTTATCTTTGGTAATCCTAATACCAAGATTTGTTGTGCACTCCCAAATCCTTCATAGCAAACTCTTTGACAATTGCCTTTTTAACTTGTCTATTTCCTGTTTACAAGCCATTGCAATCAACATGTCATTTACATATAAATATGATGTATAAAGTCATCAAGTTTCTTGAAATGACATCAATGGTATGCTTGGCATCTTAGGAAACCGTTACTACACATGAAGCCATCAAACTTCTTGTACCATTGTCTAGTGCCTATTTTAACTCATATAGGCTATTTTGAAGTTTGCACACCATTATTTCCTTTCCTTGTACTTAAAAACCTTGTGGTTGCTGAATACAAATTTCTTCATCCAGTTCTCTATGAAAAATGTCGTCTTTATTTAACTGCTCAAGATGAAGGTCTTCTTTTGCCATTAAAGTACTGTTCTTATTGTAATCAACTTGACAACTGGAAGAAATTTTTAGTGTAGCCATGCCTTCTTTCTACTGAATCCTTTCATGACCAGTCTTGCTTTGTATCATTTGCTGTCATCATATTCATTTTTCACCCCATAAACCTACTTGTTTTGCAATGCTTTCTTCCCTTGTGGTAGCTCTGTCAACTGCCAGGTTTGATTTGTTAATAATGAGTCCATTTCATCCTTCATAGTTAACTCCCACTTGAGAGTCATCAATTTGCATTACTTTCTTGTAACACTCTGTTCACCCCCATGAGTTAATGAAATATAGCGCAAAGAAGGGAAACCTCTGTGATGGTCTTATAGTCCTGGAAGATCTTATAGGTTTGAACATGGCGTTTGTGGTTCAACTTCTTGAGCTATAATCTTGATCTTCTTGGTCATTGTTCTTGCATGCCATTCATTGGAAATCTTTCAAAGGACCAACCTCTTGCTTTTTTCCCTTAGTGCTTAGATTTTCTAACTTCATGTTAAGTCTATCCTTGTACAACACTTCTTCATTGATATGACATCTCTACTCCTATAATCTTGTAGTTTTGGTCATCCCAGAAACGCTAACCAATTTGCTGTCACCGTAACTAATGAAAAACACTTTGTTAGGTCTAGCATCAAGTTACTTCTAAAGTAGAGTCAATGTAACATATGCTAACAACCAAACACTCTTAAGAAATAATTATTTACATATTTGCCACTCCAAACTTCTTTGGGATCTTGCAATTTAGTGGTACAAAGGTCCTCTATTGAGCAAGTAGGCTACAATAGTAATTGCCCCCCAAAATATTTGTGTATGTCTAGCATGCAATCTCATGCTTCTTGCACGCTCATTTAGGGTTCTGTCTTTCTTTCAGCGACACCATTCTGTTGAGGTTTGAGGATTTGTCTTCTCCATCTTGATCTCATTATTGGCACAATATTCTTTGAACCTTGATCAACACACTCTCCCCCATTATCGGACTACAAGCACTTCCCTTAGGTATTTCATTTTCAACCATGGCTCTCCACCTTTTAAAGTATCAAGACATCAGATTTATTTTTCAAAAAATAAACCCATACCTTTCTGTTTGCACATCAATGAACGACACATTATACTTTGAGCCTCCAAGGAATGACACAGGCGAGTCCCCCGCATGTTTGTATGAACCAACTCCAACTTCTTTGCCTTTGGTTCCCTAGCTACTTTGGAAAAACTTACTCTTTTTATGTGCAAAGATGCAACCTTCACAGAAACTGTAATTAATCGACTTCAACTCTAGTAGTTTTCCCTTTGATTAAGGCTCCTTCATTCTTTTCACTCTCATATGCCCAGTCTACAATGCCACAAACTCGAGGTAACATTAGCATCTACGACTGCAACTGAATCTCTGCAACTAGAAGTCATGTAAAGAGTTTCAGTTTTATTTTCATGAGCAACCACCATAGCTCCTTTAGTAACTTTCCATACACCACTTAGAAAGGATCACCTATGCCCTTCATTGTCAGTTGCCCAACTGATATTAGATTGTGCATCAATTTTGGTACATGCCTTACTTTCTAGATTTTCCACACAAGATTTGTTCACCATCTCAACCTAACATCCCCTACCTATAATATCTAAAGTTTCTCCATCTGCTAAGTTACTTTCCATGATTTCCACAACATAATTTTTTAGAATTTCATGGTGTGCATGATATGAAATGAAATTCTTAGATCTAAAACCCTAGAGTTAATAGAATTATCAGAATAAAAGTAAATCATCTTGTACCTCCTCAGTTATGGCATTGGCAGCGTCATTATCGTTGTTCTCTTCTTTCTTTAGTGCTTTGCAATTCCTCTGTATGTGGCCTTTGTTGCCACATTCTATACTCAACTTTTTTTTTTTTTTTTTCCAAACCTGGACTTGCTTCTTCCATTCCTTGAATTTGATTTTCCTCTACCGAAATGAAATTCTTAGATCTAAAACCCTAGAGTTAATAGAATTATCACGCATTAAAAGTAAATCATCTTGTACCTCCTCAATTATGGCATGCAGCGTCATTATCGTTGTTCCTTCTTTCTTTAGTGCTTTGCAATTTCTCTGTATGTGGCCTTTGTTGCCACAATTCTAGTACTCAACTTTTTTTTTTTTTTCCAAACCTAGACTTGCTTCTTCCATTCCTTGATTTGATTTTCCTCTACCTCGTTTGAATTTTTATCGTAGCCCCTGCCTCTTGTTTTCAACATTCAAGGCATTCAATGTTATCTCATCCAAATCTTTCCTGCGAACCTCCTCAGCAAGAATTTTGTCTCTAACATCTGCGACCTTTATTTTCGCATTACCTGGGAATTACTAATTGCTGCTCTCATAGGCTCCCACTATTTGGTAGGGAATCATGAGAATAGGGCATAAACTTTTCATCAAAATCAATTTTTACAGACAACAATTGATTATAATTGTATTAAAGTCTTCATATACTCTATCACAAGCACCTTCTTCATCTTAAGATAAATAATTTTTTCATAAGATGTACTTTGTTATTCGTATAAGGCTTCCTTACATATCAGACATATCTTCATCAACCCTATTGTAGTTGTCTCCTCCGCCACGTTACTTTCCGTTCTTGGTTAATGTCAACCAAATGACTCCAATACTTGTTTATCAAGGAGTGCCCAACTTCATGTGACATCTTTTCGGTTTTTGCTCCTAGGAAGGGATGTAATTTTTTGCCATACAAATGATCTAATTTGCATCTTCCAAAACACATATTGTTCCATCAAACCTATTGATCCCAAGTGCAAATCCTCATTCTTCTCTAACCATCGCTTTCTTCCTTGAACTTGGCTCTAATACCAGTTGTTTGGGGGGATTTAGTTGGATACTAACAAATCCTAAATCTCTTAAAGAAAAAAGTAGTGCAAACAAAGGACACAAAATTACCACACACACAAACACGAGATTTATAGTGGTTCACTCTCTATATGAGAGC